TTGTCCATGGAGGAAAGCACTATCCTAATTTGTACGTCAGGCATGAGGAAAAGTGCATCCTGCTTTCCTGGCATCTTATTGTGGGTAATTTTTAGCGCGGTTCTGGGGCAGTCGTCGCTCCCAACCCGAACTCGGCGTTTCGATCGCTAGCGAAATTGGGGAGCGCTAGTAAAATTGACGATCGCTAGTGAAATCGAGGATTGAACGAAGCCAGGATGGCACGAATTACGGCATGTGAATTTGCGCTAACTTTCCAGTTGTCGCAGCTTGGGGGCGCCGGGAACATTTGAACTAACTGCGCGGTTAGCGGCTTAGACCTGCGTTGCCACGTCTGCTTTGATTGAAATAGTAACCTCAAATTTAAATATGAATCGATATATAAACACCGAGCAGAGATAGCAAATGCGACGGATCCGTTTTTTTTTTTTTTTTCTGATTTGGAATTTATTGTCAAAATATTGGCACATTGATGTGCCTCTCTGTAATCGCCTCGCGTTAGAATTATTTGTGCGCAAACTGTGTCGTGGCGTGTACTATGAAATCAGTAGACCAGGAGTCACGCAACTGTTTTATTTTTTCAATGTCTAAGCCGCCTTCCGCTAACTTTTCGGTCGTAGCCCAGGCGAAGGAATGGCACGGGGTTCTCCGCAGTCCGCCGGCCGTCCAAGAAATGGCCGGAGCACACAAGACTGCCCTTCGATGGCGAGAAGTTTTTCCTGTTTAAATTCGCCAGCCACCGGCGTCGTATAGGTCTGGAGCAGCGGGGAACCGGTGCAGGAGAAACATGCCACACCCACATTCATCCTGTTCGACAGCGTGGGTCTCGCACACTGAATCGGGGTTTATTTTACTTTTCTTTTTAATTATTTTTTGCAAACAATTACAGCAAAGTGCTGCCCGGTCGATTCTTCTCTTGCATAGGCCATGTCACGCGCAAAAACACGCTATAATATCAAAGCGGCGCCTAGCATTGTCGAAGCAACTTGCCTCCGTACACTGCGCACGTGTTTTCTAACAGTCCACTCCGTGAAGCAGACGAACTTTTGAGGGAAAGGGTGAGCGGAGCGTTGACGCAGAAGCTCTGGTTCGAGAGTGTTTTTCCTTTTCTGCATCGACCTACTTGGAACGGTGTATACGTAGCGCACATCGAAGCCGTCGGCACGCAGTACACGTGGGGCTTATCGTTAACCCTTTGCGAAGTTACAACGAGACGTGCTATGAAACCGTGGGCTCTCACTTTGGCGGCGCCGCCTGGCTGTTGCCGGCTGGCTATAGACCCCTTTCGAAAGACACGTGCCGATTATTAGAAGGTCGGAAACACTGAGCGGAACAATTGGCATCGTGGAACGCGCAAGCCACTCGATGAGATAGAGAACGTCGGAGCACGGCCGGGGAGCCGACGAGCCAATCAGACGGCGTCGAAAGTGGAACGTCGCTGCATCACGTTCTTGTGTGGGTGTGGTTTTGCCTTCTCATCTAACCAAATGCATACAGTGTGGCGTAACGTTGCAGTCCTAGTCCGCCATTGTGCAGGGATTCCACAGCTGCCAACAGATGGCAGTGAAAGGAGTTCATACAGCGCTGCGTGCTGTCTCGTCTTCACTTATTCCGCGTCGCGATGTTTTACCCCGAAATGTACCGCAGACACTCCGTCCCAAGATGTTTTATATTTTAATCACAATTCACACCACGGGGTTTCGTGCCAGAAGAGCGCTGCCTTCAGCGTCATCGTATTGTGCAACGAACGCAGTCAACCAAACGGCGTCAAAAGTGAATCGGCACGGCACTCATCGCCTCTGTGTTTTGCTATAGGACGGACTGCACCCACACGTAAATGCGCCGCGATCCCTCGCTCTTGCGTCAGACCACTGTGGTGGCGCTGTTGTCAGTGCTGGACAAGGCGCAGCTACTTCATCTCACCAGAATCGGGTTTCCGCGCAAGATCAGTGCAGCCACGCCCGGTGTGCGCAAGCGCGGGCTTGTTTGGAAACAGCGTGCATGGCGTGTAGAGCACCGTGCAGGATGCAGCCTATTCCCAACTTTGACCCCTATAGACTTTTTCTGTGTACTCTCGTCCCCAGCCACCTAATAGGCGTGTATGGGCGACGAAAAAATAATCCAACGTTTCAACCTGCAAATATTAAGAAAATAAAGGGGAGGCAAAACGAGAAAGTGTGACGGTTACGCTGATATCCTAAACGCCTTCTATTGGCGTCGCAAAGGTAAAACAATGTTTTCGCCCATACCGGAAATGACGTGAATTCAAGATGGCGGTGCACTTGCAGAAAAGATCTATAGGCTGAGACTGCGGTGGAAGCTTGTGGGATTTCCCTCGCTGCTACCCGCCTCGGAGAATGACACAGCCACACCGGTTCAACAACACGTAAACATTTAATGAGCGCTATCGCCTGCGCCGCGATCCCAACAGCCCCCGCGCATCCCCTGCGACGGCCTTTAATCGGCGGCGGAGCGCCGCTCGCGTGGCCCCTTGGCCCCCTCGTGGTCAAGATGACCACTCATGATTGTCGGAGGTGCAGCCTGGGCCAACCGCTTGGAATCGGTTGCCCACAAACTACGTCTTCGTAGTCATGCGCCTCTCTTTCGCCTCGTCATCAGGCTCCCGGCCATAGCCGGGCGCGGAGAGCCGGGTCACGTGATAAGGGGGAGGCGGCGGTCCGGCGGGCACGCTGCTCCCACCGTAGTGTGACCGGAGTGGCTGTCATCTGGATGTTCGTCGTAGAACAGCAGTACGAGGCTGGGTCTGCGACTCGTAAGTCTAATGTCGCTATGCACGAGCAATGTTAGAGCCTTACTTTTTCACGTAAGGAAGGGCGAGCACGTTTGTTGTGAAGCTGAGAAGCTAAGAGGCGCACGATTCTCACACCGCGGTCCCGCCACCGTCGAAGACTCAGAATCCGTGTATCGAATGTCCCCGGGAGCCTTAGAATCTTCGGACAAGAAACCTTCGCTATGACGAGGTGTCCTCGGATGAAGTGTCTCGGGGTGAAGCGGGCGGACATACCTCAGAGCCTAGCTGAACACGCAACGGGGTCAGCGACACCGGGTCTCAAACGTCGCCGTTGTCGTTAGACTCTGGTCATTGCCGCCGTGGGTTTGAAGCTGCGCTTCCACGGGTCCTACATCGCACAAAAGATACGATGAGACCGCGCACACGCCTCACGCATGTTCCCGTCTGCTTCGTGCAAATGCACACTTGGAACGTTTCTGGCCTTGTGGGACCAATGTGAGCTTCACTCGAGCCTCGGGCTGTTTCTGCACTCTGTCTTTTGTCATTAGCAGTGGGACCTCGGCTTTACATAGTTTTCCACAAATATATATATATATATATATATATATATATATATATATATATATATATATATATATATATATATATATATATATATATAATTCTTGGATATCAAAAGGTTGAGTTTACCACACACACCAAAAAAATATATCTACGTTATCTGAAGGTCAAATTTTCACAAATAAAAAAAAATCTTCGATATGAAAAAGTCGAGTTTTCCACACGCACAAAAAGTAAACAACAAAAAAACTTCAATATCAATAGGTCGAGTTTTCCACACACCAAAAAAAAAACAAAAAAACTTCGATATCAAAAAATGAAATTTTCCACGCAAAAAAAAAAACAACAAAAAAACAAATCTTTGATATCAAAAAATCAAGTTTTCCACAAAAAAAAAAAAAAAAAAATCTTCGATATCAAAAGGTCGAGAAACTAGTAGATATCCCGAGGACGCTTTTTGGCGTCTAGCCAGACAGAATTACGCTTCGTTCGAGTTGTCAACGCGTATCAAAATGGTGTCACGAACGTTCGTGCCAACTGCGCATAGGCTCTGATCGAAGGTCCGGCACTATCGGACATGTTGCCTTGATTGGCACCGCTCTATGCGATAGAACCTCCGACGAGACGTTCTGACAATCTGTCTACGTGTATACTGCCAGGCAGCTTACCCAAAATAGGGTTTTGCAATCTAAGTTTTTTTTTCTGTTTTACTTAATTTTTTTTTTATTGCGGAGAAGGAGCACAAAAAAAGCTCGCGTTAACTGACAATAATGGAACGCAGACCGCCTACTTCTGTTGGTTCCTTTTTTTGCATGAGAACTTTAAGCCGCGGTATTCCTGCTAATATATTCCACAAAAGACAGTCTGCAAACCCAGTCTGAGGCTTTCTTCTCCCTCTAGTCCTCTTACATGGGTCAGTCCAAAAATTGGCAGCTACCTTGATTTGCGAAGGATGCACGAAATGCAGTATTGAACGTGCGATAGTTCAAAATTGTTCGGAAGACTTTGAACCGTCCTTTCGGGTAATGAAAAAGAACCTTTCTTTTTGTACATTTTCGCGCTACATCGGGCGGGGAAACTGCAGGGCGCTTAGGTTACGCGACGTCAATTTCCCCGTTCAATAGAGCGGGGAACGAAATTGGCGTAGGGGTCGCCTCACGCCAGGTCACGTGGCACCCATTGACATCACTTGACCGAAACACCAACTTAATTTTCCCGCTAAATGTAGCGGGAAATACACGGACGAACGGTCACAATTTGGGATCCATAATAAAAACCCAAAACCGAGAGAAAGAAAAAAATATAACGGACAAGTGCAAACACCGTGACCGTTGTCTGTTCTTTTATTTTTTTTTCTCCAGTTTTGGGTATTTTTATGACGAAGTTCATTCACCAGTTAGCCCCCCACGCAGTTTCACTTTCCTCGCTAAAACGCTTGGGATTAGGGAGAATCGTTAAAAAGCATTTCGCGCTTGAAAAGCTGCTTGCAGACATGTTGGAACATGCATGAAACAAACACGCTTCGTCTATGATCGAAGCTCGTCCGAAGATCATTTTGTCCTCATGTCTGCACCGAACATCGTGTATGTACATCGTGGATGTACGATCTGAGACGTGCCCATTTATTCGATTGGAATGCAAGCTTCCCTTCAGTACATCTCTGAACTCCAGTGTTCGTCGAAGGTTGACCTTATATGATGGTGCTGTTTTCCAGACAGTGTTCCAGCGAACCTTTCAGGTAGCTGTCGTTGGTTTGAACGAGTACGACCGTGTACGTGATCACGGCTCCCATGATCTGGAAGAAAAGAAGAGGAAATCGTCGCGCTCGTCTCGTACCCTGCGCACCGGGGCGACGGTACTAACGTCCGCAAACGTCGAGAGGTCCACAACGAAGAATCCACAACCGGTGAACTTGAGGTCGTCGTGCCTGATGCTATTTAACATCATTCTTAGCTGAAATAAAAATAGGCAGTGTTGGTTTAAGAATTTGAGAAGAAAAGGATAAACTCCAAGCACCGTTTACACGAGCTTCCAACCAAAGAGGTTATTAAAAAAATCCAATACTCTTTTTTTTTTTCTAGCTTAAAATAATAATAAAGTGTCGTACGAGGACTGTCACGAAATTCGTGTTTGCCAGTGATCATTGGAAACAGATTTTTCTTTTTTTTCTAGGAAATTGATTCGATATAGCGTCGTATTAACTGCGATATATCATCAAATATGGCCGTACTTTCAACGAGTTGAAGACTTTCAGAATGTTTGAAAGGTGATAGAAATGCATTTGGAGGGAACCATGCTCAGTCTGGGCGACGGACAAAAATAGGATGCTTAGATTGGCACGTAGAAGGTAAAGACTCGGCAATTGAGCACTACAAATACACTTACCTGCGCGAGCAAGTCGTCCGAAAAGTCAGCCATCGATACTCCCTGAACAATGCTTCGAAGTTCAATCACCTGAAAAGTTAGAAGTTCTCAAAACGAGAGCGTTCGCTATGGAGGCGATAACAGTTTCGCCAAGAATAACGCTTCACGCGGCGATTTCTCAGAATAACAAAACGAAAAAGAGGGAGAAGGAGATATATATAGACAGAAACGATGTGGATCTAAAAATAATTATAAAACTGAAATTCATGATCTAATTGCTCCTGTGTTATCATATTGTGTCTCTTTTGCGATGATTACTAACTTTGTTAACCAAATTTAATACTGTTACATTTTATGTTACTCTTTCTGACTGCTCATGCGTCCAGTTCTAAATTTTTATGTTGCTTTTATTTGCGATAAATCCGAAACTAGCCTTCGTCAATGAAATCAGGTCACGCGCATATTTGTATCGTTTTGTTTATAAGAAATAGAGGATTGTAAGTCTTGAGCATAGATAGGATGTTAAATGGAACATTCTAGTATAATCTGGGTCGTAGGTCGGCCAATATGCCTGTTGGTATAACGTACTACGTCTAATACCCGTGCCACACGGGCAACTCGAATGCCATTTACAACGAATGACATTTGTGTGATCGGCAAACCAGCTCGCAATCTGTCGCGCGTGGAATGCGCAACGCCCGGAGTGTCGCGCGCTGATTGGCCGTCCGCTCAAATGTCATTCGTTGTAAATGGCATTCGAGTTGCCCGTGTGGCACGGGTATCAGAATCACTAATAAGTGTTCGTTTTTGCGAGAAATAATAAATAAATGCACGAACACCCGTTGAACGTAACCCATCGCACATACAATACGGTTATCCTCGAGTCCCACGTTTAAAACATCAAGCCACAGGAAAAAAACATTATATCGAGCTCGGGGTTCGAACCGAATAGCGAGCTTTGCGTTGCTATAGCGTAATTGTAGGATCGGTAGCCGTGTTTGTTAGCGCATAGCAACTGGGAGCACGTGGAGCGAAAGCTCGCGCTGCGGAACCTCCTGGGTTCAATCCCACCCCTGTCCACTTCGATCTGAGTGAGCAGCGTACCGGCGTGCGGTCGTCACTACCACGTGATGCACGTTAAAGAGCTAGCAGTGGTATTGCGTGGCTCTCGCCTACAGCGGAGACCGCAGACACCCACTGCAGGGGAATTCTCGTTGTCTAAACAAGCGCACAACACAATCGCTTTGGGTTACGACTGTTCAATAATTCGCTCCTGCCATATCTGTTATTCCACGGCGAAAGGAAAGAGCTGCGTCAGCGCGCACAGTGACAACGGCAAATAAGTTCTATTTTATCGGTACGCGTCCGCGAGCGCGTGTCTTAATGATAGGTAAAAGAGTAGTTAAGAAATGTGCCGCTTTCGCCGCGTGCGCTGCCTACGATTCCCGCTTCAGAATCCAGCACAACCCAGACTGAAAGTCGTATATATATAGTGCTGAGTTCTATACATCCCCTACTGAGGACCAACGGGGGGCACGTCTTGGGCACCACGTCAGCTTCGGCTGAAACTTGCATTCAATTGGTCAGAGCAAAAGTCGGAGGCGAACGCTGGCGCTCTACTCGTGTCCAATAAGCGACTCACACTGGCCCTCAGGAGGGTAACCACGGAGAGCGTTTTCAAACTATAATGAGGGGCACCTTCTTCGCAGATTGGTCGCAAGTGCGCGTGCGGCGCGTTATCGCGGGATGAGGACGAAAGCGAGCAGAGGGGGCGATGACACAAAAGATCAACACTTTCGACTCCCCCTCGTGACCACGACCAAGTAGTTGGAGACACCCTTTAAACTAGGCACACTATCCCTCGGTAGGTGGCGTAGAAAATGCTGCTTTCTACCTTTGGCTGATCTCCCTTCTTGTCTTGGCGTGTTGGCCGTCGCGTATGTCACACTGCTAATGCAGCATACAAAAGACACTGTCTGAGGCCCGTTTCTTATATTGTCCCATTCTCGGAAGCAAGCGGCGAGGGTAGGGCAGTGGCTCGCGTGCCCGGATCTCACGCAGCAGTACCTGGTTCAAATTTTACCCGCGAGCCATTCTTTTATCCTTTCGTTTGTTTCTGGAGGTGTCCGAGAAGAATTCAGACGGAACTCGCACGTTCTCCTTATTTTCCGCTTGTGAATAGTGTTACTCTACAGGGTCCGATCGAGAAAAGTAAACCCTACTTTTCGGCCCTCGTAAAAAGACTACGCATTGCAGAACGCTGAAACTTCGCCAGAATGTAACCCTAGCAGTCCAAGCAAGATGCCAAAGTTTCAGAACATGAGCTTACCTGGATCAAAAGATAAAAGAAAAAAACGAGAAATCTCTACGGGGAGGCTCCGACCACGGAGAGACGCAGACGGAGGCCGTCTGCTTTGCGTTGCATCGCATAGGTGGCGCCACCACCGGTGTTCGGGTTTGCGAAGAGCAAAGCAGACGACATCTGCTAAAATAATTAGCATGAAGAAATGTTATGCTTGAGCAAATGCACCGAAGTATCATAAATTAGAGCGTGCAATCTTTATTTCCGTTGCAGTGAAAAGCAGTGCGTAAGTGAAACTTCAGAAATGATAGAGAACAGTTCCGAATTTGCCGCCAAGCCCGGCAGAAGCCCGTGATAACCCGCCAACCCGCATAGGTGGCGCCGCATCGCATCCCGTGATAACCCGCCAACCGCCAGCCAACTATGCAATGCAACGCAAAGCAGACGGCCTCCGTCTGCGTCTCTCTGTGGTCGGAGCCTCCCCGTAGAGATTTGTCGTTTTTTTTTTTTTCTTTTATCTTTTGATCCAGGTAAGCTCATGTTCTGAAACTTTGGCATCTTGCTTGGACCGCTAGGGGTACATTCTGGCGGAGTTTCAGCGTTCTGCGATGCGTAGTTTTTTTACGAGGGCCGAAAAGTAGGGTTTACTTTTCTCGATCGGACCCTGTAGTATAGTTCTGTTTGGTGCGCGATGTACGCTGCCCTCGCTATAAATGAGCCTGCCTGTGGCTGCAGAGGGGCACGGGCAGGCTTAGGGCTCGATCCAGCTGTCACGCCTGAACCTCTGGCTTTGTTTTGGGCGTAAGTTCGTCCTATTAAACGCTTAGTTTTCAACTGAGTTTCTCTGTCATTCGTGACGGTATTACATTGGTAATAAAACAAAACTGTCTGCAGACGTGGTATACACACGTAGGAAGCCTTCGAACACTCTCAAGACGTGTCCGCAGCTGTCGTCATGTTTGAAGCGAACACCGCGTCTTCTGTATGAGAGGGCGCCACTCACCGCCCCTTTGATGCGGTGCGCGCTCACTGTGGGGAGCAGGATGCTGATCCAGTGCAGAACCCCGAAGCACAGAAAGAAGAGTCGAATCTTGTTGCTCAGCTCGGGGATGATGGTGTAGTAAGCGGCGGCGCAGAGAAGAGCCACGCTGTAGGCGTAAGCGTACAGTAGGCTGGGCCCAAGAAGGGAGCTGGCCAGGTCCGCGCAGTTCTTCAGCAGCGTCAGCTGGACCCGGGTGTGATCGACCAGGCTCACCTTCCTGGAAAAATCCATGCCGTTTTGTAACGCCCCAGTATTAGTCGATGCTCTAAGGACCGATGAATGAGTGAAAACGCAGGCAGGCCGGTGAATGGCTTCCATACTTCAACCCGATACAAGAGAAAACTAGTTGAGTTTCAAGACCAGTCATTATTAAGTTTATCGACTACAGAGAAAAACTTGCAATACTATTAAACTGTTCAAAGCTTAGGGGGACAGTTTTCCGGATTTCTGAAGACTATTCTAATTATTTTAGGATTAAGATGCAATTAATGCAAAGGTGCAAGCGAGCTGGACGAGATTGGCAATAATAATCCCTGGGGAAGCGGAACAACGGGGACAAACAGAAATCTCCAAACACAGCTATAGGTGACTGGTGCGACCGGACCAGGCGGATTTTTTCGGTCTCCCTTTGTAGGGTTTCCTACGCCCGAGCCATTCCTCCTATCTACCTCAAACCGTGCTATGCAGGCAAAAAAAAAATTGTTAAAAGTTACAGCGGAGCCCTACTCTAGCCTTACTTGCTAGTGGCCTCCCGGCGGCATAAACTCGCATGACCGTCCTATCCTAGCGCTTACTAAATCTATGGAAACATGCACGCTGCAACAAAATCTACAAAGCAAGCACCAAATGCATCGCTTCGCACGCCTTCGGAACAGCTCCCGCAAACACGTCCGCTCCGCCCGACCCTATACTGTTTTTAATTGGAATAGATTGCTTTAGGTGCCCCACGGGTAATCGGGGGTGCACCAGTTATTCTCGGAAATGGCGGAGAATATTGAATACTGGCAACAAGGTATAGTTATTTGTTGAAATGGCGTCAAGCTCAGAGGTCTCCCCGACATCTGAATTTAGCACCGCTTGCAATCCAAGGGGGTTAAGCGTACGCCCTGTGGCTTTTGCAAGCAATCCTCTTATGGAGGAGTGCCCTCTCCTAATAGTTTTACCCTCCTCGCCTTCTCGCTCATGCCGACCACGCGAGAAGTAGCGAGAGCTCTAAATGCTGAGTGAAAGCCGCCCCCAGTACAAACGGTGTTATGCGTCCTCTGCTCGCGTTGCTAATAAATGTAGAATATCACTTTCAGTGTTTCTTCAGAGTTGACAAAGCATCCTTTTGCGATACAAATCTAACAAGACCGAATTTGGAGAGTGTACTCACGAAGTCGGGAGTTGTGCTTCGGAAAGTACCAGGAAAAAATCATGTAAGTACAAGTAAATACTGAGCGAATGTACTTCCAGTGAACTACACGTTTTTTACATCTACTTGAATTAGTACTTAAAGTACAATGTACTTGAAGTGCTTCCCAACGGTGACGTGAACACGTATTGAAGCGAGCGAGGGCACCCTCTTGACCGAAGAAGCAAGATTTTACTGGCTCTATTGAGGTGCAGTGACCTAGATTTGGCTCCTTTACTGTCTCGCGCATATCGTGGCCTATATTTTTGACCTCAAGTTCGTTTAAAAACGCTTCTTCCCTATCCTTCCTAATCCGCGATTTGCTTCACTTTCGGAATTCTAGAACCTCATCTTCTGCCAGGGGCCGCCAGTTATTTCTAAAACGGTGAATTGCGGCACAGTACCTGCTCTCTGGAGTGCTTCTAGACCGCAGACATTGGTCCAAATTCCTGTAGATGCAGCTGAGGTAGAGCGTGAAGGCCTTGGAGAAGTACGTCATCCAAAGTCGGGTGACCAGACAGAGACTGGAGACGTACACGACGCCCAGGATGGAGTAGAGGATGCCGATGACCATGACGTCCACGCTCACTTGGCCCTCGGCGCTCAACACTAACGCAGTGCCGAAGTCGGAAATGATGTTCAGCACGAAGTTGCAACAGGAAAGGACAGCCTGGAAAATGCAGAGTTTTCAACTCGCACGGAGGGGCTAGAACAAAGATGGCGATAGCTTTCGCTCGAATCGCAGAAATTAGGTAGAGCTCAGCGGCAGCATTTTTAGAGAATGTCTAGCCACTTGATGCATTCGTGAAGTAAAATTATTATCCGATTGTGTATACTCTTCAAATTAACTAGCTCAATAGTACGTCCGCTTTCTCAATTGAATTAATTGGTTTAGGTACGGAAATCTTCTAAGCAATTAAAGAAGTGTAACATATCTAGTATGCTATAAATTATCTGTTTCCATAATGCACGTGCCATCTTACTAGTTCGAAAATCTGAAATGCACATAGATTGAAATGTAAGAAACCAACCACCGTTCCCCAAAACCATACTTGGCGTGAAGCGCCAGGTCGAACTTTCCTATTGTAGTGACATAAGGGAGGAGGTAAGTGGGGTGTTCTGAAAGGTTCAGCGAATGCGCCCCCAACATGCTGGGCAGCCAGGTAGATCGGCTGCCACGCAAAGCCTCTCTGCTCAACTCACGACTTGACCTTCGGTGGTCTCCCCATCAACCAAGCAGAGACGCACAAGATCCTGGAAGTGTTCTTCAACCAACGAAAGTTCCCCAAGGAATGGCTAACAAGGTTGGCCAAGATTTTTAAACAGGGCACGGCATGGTCTGCCGCATCGCCCAAGAGACCGATGGTGCGAGCGAGGAGGTGGCCGAGACCCTGATACGGGCCGTGCTAGCTTCCGAGGTACTTTACGGCGCAAACTACTACAAGTTGAATAAGAGTCATTGGCGAGCAACCGAAAGATGGCAGAATGACGCCCGAAGAAGTATTGCGGGCTTACCGAGACACACAGAACTGGAGGAGCTGCACAGATGCGTTCCCCTCCCCAAACTACAGGACTTAGCCAAGGACCAGCACGAACTGCACCTTGCCTCTATGCAACACACTGGACAGGGTAGGGCTATACTACGACTCCTGCGACAAGACGTGTCCACGCTTTCTAAACTCGGCCGCCTAATCTCCCCCTGGGAATAAGCAGACGTGGCCTCCAGCACGCCTGTACCGCGGAATATGGGCCTGGACCAACCGGAATGGCGCCGGGACTACGCACAAAAGCACCTGAACCGTCGTAACCACGAAACTTGAAGACCTCACCGCCATCGTACTGTACACAGACGCAGAACACAAGGATCTAGTCACCACTACGGCCTGGCACGATCCCCGTGAGAGCAAGTCATGGAGCCGCGAAACTAAGACCACTGGAACGCCCGAGGAAGCCGAAGCCCAGGCGATCCTTCATGCCCTGGAACGCGTTACCCAAAGCCTGAACCTACCAGTGAAGTCGGTGGACATCTACACCGACGCCCAGGAAGCCATACGAAGGTGCCGAATACACGACCCTAACAGCCGGATCACCCGGGGCATCCTTGCACTTGCCAGGCGCCTCGAGAGCAAGAACGTTAAGGCCACTATACACTGGGTCCCCGGCCATGCCGGAGTACCGGGCAACGAGGCCGCTCACCGGTCCGCCGAAGCGCTAGCAACGTTTCTCCTTTCGCGACCGCGAGGTGTGGACTCCCTGCCCGGCCCTTCAACCAGCTCTGGAAAGACCGGCCCCAAGAAACAAGACGGGACAAGAGGCCGGACTCCCTACGACCCTCAAGATGCAATGAGGAAGGTCACACAAGACTTACAGAAGAGCCTCATGGCCTCCCTCCCGCGCGAACCCGACCCCCTCCTGCTCAGCCACTACACCAGGAAGAAAATGGTCTTTCTGCGCAGGATTAGGACCGGGAGTACCGTGACGTTCCACGACCGACGCAAGTGGGAACTGAGTGCTGGCAAGATCGGCAGAAACAGACCGCCAGTGTCGGCAGCCAGTCTGCCAGCCTCCCCGCCACAGCCGCAGCTGATGCAACGCCAACATTCACTGGAACAGCCTGAGATCTGTCCCTACTGCAAAAAAAACCCTGAGTGCAAACCTGCTCCACCTCGTGTGGGAGTGCGGTCACTTAACCAATGAAAGAAAGAGGGCGCTTAGTCTTCTACCACCTGCATCGAGGCCATCCAGCCTGGAAGGCTGGGCCCGGCCTGAGGGAGACTCGGCCAGAATCGCACTGATCCTAGATTCGTTGCTCCTGCACTTGAAGGACACGAACCTGGGGTTGACGTTCTGAGCACGGCCGTTCCTTCACGTCAAAGACTGCCTCAGAACCTGATCCCTCCTCAAACCACGCCTAGGGCGACCGTTCGTTTCTTGCAGTCAACGTTTACTACCTACCTACTTCACTGCTATAATTCATTTCACCTTAAGACCGCAGTCGACGCCAAAATCAGAAGGAGTCAATCAAGCAGCGTCAAAAAGTACGTCGTCACGGCGCTCATAACCTTTCTGAGTTCGCTGTGACCGACAACCACGCACAGCTATACGCCACTGGCTTAGTCGGTGACAACTAATGCCTTTATACTTTGCACTTTTGACGGTGCCTGATTGGCTGCATCGTACCGTAGGATGCGCTTTAATGTGAAACGGAGTATGGAACCAATGCCGTACGACGTCGGTGTCTCACCTGGAACGCCATGATCTTCCAGGTGAAGCTGATCGTGTCATGTTGTACGTAAGGCGGAGTCCCGATGTTCATCTCGATCTTCGCGCAAAGATGCAGCAGTTCCACGAATTTAGGCGCCTTGACGAACATCAAGAAATTGTTTATGACGGCTTCTACGTTCACCGAAGTAAGGAACAGGATGTAGATGGTGGTGTTGAGCCGGTCCGTGTCCTTCATCCTCCTCCTGGGTTCGATTGTGGCCACGTAGGCACCTACGGCGATGCCTGCGAAAAAGGAATCGGGGCGACATTCGTACGTTCGCAAAGAGGACTGCTGTTGTTTCATCAGAAGCATTGGCTCAAGTATTTAAAACATCTGCCTGCTCATTTCTCCCACCGGTGCCTATGTCCGGGTTTTCGGCATTGTCACGTTCAAATTATGTAGCCACAAAACCCTAAGTTGCCCGAACTTTTGATGGTCACAATGCTACATAGTATAACACAACACGTACACAACACGTACTTGAAAAACGCATCTTCCTATTGGCGACGTGCGCGACCGAAAGCGTCGCTGTGGTCGGCCTTCCACGATTGGCCCAAAAGCTGACTATGACGTCGAAAAGGGTATACCATCGACGGAAACAAGAGGAATGAAATAACTTTAATTTCGACGGTGTTGGCAGTGTTGCTTTGAGAGCGCAATGATTTCAGGCCTCCACCGTGCTATTTACAAACACCATCGAACTTGGTGTTCGTAAGGTAATGACGTCACAAGGGGGAACCGTAGGAGGGCGCCACCAAAACATCTCGCCGCTAATTACTCCGCAGTCAAAAAGACTGCGGCATTGGCCGATAAGAACGTTGAAGAACAAATCACGAAGCGTGGACACTACACCCTGCGTTTCTTTGGATGGCAGTGACTACCTATTCAGCGCTGTAGCGTGTCTTTAGAATCGCAAAGGCATCGAGGGAGAAAACAAACCCAGGCAGCACACGATATTGGGCCAACATTGGAATTGATGGGACAAAGAATGGCCCAACAATGGCCCAACTGAGCCATGTGTTTACCAATATTGGAATTACCTGGGCCAATAATGGACTATCATAGCCAATGTTTTTCCAATATTGTTGATGCACTGGAATAAGCTGTCCAATATTGGACTGTGAAAGCCAATGGCTTGCCAATATTGGATAAATGCTGGCATAACCTGTCCAATATTGGACTGCCAAAGCCAACGGCTTTCCAATATTGGATATATACTGGCATAACCTGTCCAATATTGGACTGTCAAAGTCAATTGTTTTCCAATATTGGATATATGCCGGCATAAGTTATCCAATATTGGACTGTCAAAGCCGATAGGTTTCCGATATTGGATATATGCTGGCATAAACTGTACAATATTGGACTGTCAGAGCCAATGGCTTTCCAATATTGGATACATGCCAGCATTAGCTGTCCAATATTGGACTGTCAAAGCCAATAGCTTTCCTATATTGGATATACGCCGGCATAACCTGTTCAATATTGGACTTTCAGAGCCAATGTGTTTTCCGATATTGAATATACGTTGGCTTAAGCTGGTTAATATTAAACTGTCAAAGCCAAGAGTTTTCTAATATTGGTGATGTCTTGGTATAGGTTGGTCAATATTGGTACTGCCATAACCAATGGCTTATCGATATTTACGTCGCCTAGGCTATAGACCCGCGAACCTCTTTTTTGCATTGCAGAAATAGGAAATTGGAAAAGAGTCATTCATGAGCTCGCTCGGGCGAAAATTTTATTTAGCCAACTTCATGGGGCGTACGTCGCCGGCGCTTTATAACCGCGATCACAAATACGTCCTTAGCTGCCTATAGGACTATTGCAGTTTTTTTGCCGGCTGCTCTCCATTCGCATTGCCTTACCTCGGCGTTGACAACTTAACTCCGTTTTTTTAGATTTAAGTATTTTTGTCTTTTCCAATATATTTGTTATATATACGTAGCGTTAACGTCTTCTCTTTGTCCGTGCCCCTGTCATGTTTGTATTTCTTTCTGCGTGCTCTATTTTTTTATATTTAATGATTCTGTGCATATTTAGTCATTGTCGACGCAGGTGTCAACAAACATAAAGCCGCCGCTTACGCCGCAACCGAAGTGGCTCTAAGTTTTACGAGAGTATATCGCGATATAAAGTCATATATTAAACTCGAGTGAAGTCTCGAGAGGGTTGCTTCGACTGCCAGTGCACATGTCATCAGGGTAGGCAGAGCAACGACGTAGCAACCGCGACGCGGGAGTCTGCGCCTCGATCTGGCCGGCCGCGCTCGCTCTGCGGAAATGTGAGCGTGGGACTCTCGAGCCCCGTTAGCTTACTGAAGCTGCTAGACCCTACTTTGTTGTCGCGAATCATTTGCCCTTCGAACGGTCGCGAAGCCGTTGCGCTCGGAGTACCCTACCCAGCATCTTTCAGAAACCGTTCGCGCAGCATCGCAACCTTCTGTCGGCGAGCGTGGGCGATTCATCGTGTGCTGCAATTCGGACGATGGGCTGTTCGGGCTGTCTTTTATGTGTAACTCTTTCGTAAAACAATTTAAAGTTTAAAAACGCGAACCTAACAGCGTACAAACAGTTTTAAATTTATTGATAAAAAATATATTTATATACTTATAGATATATTTGTGTACATCGAGCGCAAAAAATAGTCGCGCTTAATTCTTCATTACATTATATTATATATTTATATATTATTATATTTACGTTATACGACGTAAAACATACTGTCGTCAAACTTGCCCCGTTTAGAACCACTTTTGGGCTGGAGAGCTTCTTTAGAAGTTCAAAAGCTGACCTTCAAAGAGCTGTCCTGTTAAATCGGTATTGACAGCAGGGTAGACGCTATGCGTGTTTAAGGCCAATCGTGTCTCCGGTTAGGGTCACTTGACTACGGTCTCGAAGCTGGTGATAAGCAACGAGGTAGAGGGGCTTAGAGTGATAAACCGGAAGTTCGGAAGTGGCACCCCCCCGGTTGCCGCCATATTTTACGCAAATGTGACCACTCGTCACGTGACCTTCCAAGAGCCGTGACGTCACAGGTAAGATGGCAGCGCCCAGAGCTGGTGGACGCGAGTTTGTTCGGTGCGCGGTAGCCGTGATGTGCAGCTGCTTTCCGACGACTTCGGGCTTCTTCGTGCTCGCTGACGCAGGTATAATGTGAAAATATGAAGGCATGAGACTTTGTACCGTTTTTGCGCAAGATCGCTCTGGATCATCTGGATATTAACGCCTGTGAGACAGTATCAGCTCTGCATCGCCTTACCGGTGCTCGGATTCCTGGATGTGTCCGAGGATCGATAGAGCTTTGAGTGCTTTTAACATGACATTTTCGCATTCTCTTAGCTTTGTTTGAACGTTGAAATATCTGAGAATCTACGCGAAATGTATACGTCGCGTTAGGGTCTAAGGGAAGTTGTTTCAGCCCTCCGTCACCGAACAACCATAGCAACTTTTAGCGAGGAAGCTCCTGCGATTTTAACCTTTTGTGCTAATCCACGATTCTACATTCGATCGCTTTTCTTCCTTTTTTTTTTTGTGTGTGTGAGTGCGAAGTGCACCCTTATTTTCAGCTATGAGGTTGGCGTTTTATTGAGTATGGGGAAGAATAAATCGTTGCAGGCACCTGCTTCAAAGCTATTCGACTTGCTATAAGAACAACTGTTTTGGTGCATGCATAGATTAACTGCGCATTTTTTCTGTTTTGTAGGATTTATTGCAGCTATACTCTTTTCCATCAAGAGCGCATTGTATTAGTCGGTCAATTATTTAATTGTTCTAATTACCTGGATAAGATGATTCATATTTGTGTTCATCCCTTGCCTGGAGAGCAGTCTTGTTGAAAAATGTTGACTACCATTCCTTTCGGTCTCTTTAATAGACTCTTTTTAAAAGTGTGGGCTGTCTATACTTCGCATCACCGTAACTTGGAAAAGGCCAACCGCCACAGCCCCCTCGAGCCAATCAGAGAGACGGAGCGAAGGTGTGTGACAAATCTGTGCAGACGACCACTCTGGTGATATGCTGTCATGTGCCTCTCTCCAATGTGTGTATTGACTCACCGAGACTGTAGCCTTTGCCGTCTGCCAAATTCTGATGAAACAAATTACAGTAGCTACTACTGTAATTACCCCAGGCTTTCATACTTTGGGTATTTGTTCGACAAGAATGTTATGCCCGCCATCCCTGTGAATTCGGCTCAGCACCTATTGGACTCGAATGCTGCACTGGCGTTCGACGTGAACTGGGGCCCATTCGTGTGCTTGACGCCGAAAAAAATGGCGACGGTTGTGTTGCTTGATAAGGTTCTGCAAAGGGTCTATTGTGTCATACATATAGGAAGTGTCATGCTATATAACAATGCATCAACACATACTATTAAACTATATGCTCAGAGGTGTGTTTGTTTTTCCAATTAACAAGTTACAGCAGTGTGCTTTAATGCTATCATCATGTGTGTAGTTTTAAGTATCCTCTCTGCAATGCCTACGAAGGCCCCTGGAAGGAATAAATTAATAAATAACATTTTCACATCACTGAAGTTGGTTTTCGGATGCACCACATGTTCAGGAAAGGTTGAACGAGTGCAGCCCCTTGCAAGAAGTCTGCCAGTCTGGTATGACCCCTTAATTAATATTGAAGGGTCAGAGAAGCGAGTGTCCTCGTAAGGTCTAGAGCGTGCAGTGGACACAATTCTCGGTGTGTAGACTCTCAAGGCATGAAGGCAAGCGGAAATATGTTTATCTGGTTAGTGTATCAAATATGTTTATTTCCACTTGATTACATAATTATTGATTCTTAGTAAATGGTTCCATAACGAGTTCTTTCTGCAACAGTCTCGTGTCAGGCGTTCAGTCCTAATACCTGTGGACCTTGTTGTCGGATGACGCTCCTGGCACGTCGGTGTTCAGTTTGGTCGAGTGGCCACTTTGACCGACTGATGCTGCCTTGTAATCATACGTCATGTGCGGTGACTGACGGCTGATGCACTGAAGCTGCAGGGCTGGCTTCTAATCCGAAAATTTTCCTGGTAGTTTTCGGCATCAATGTAGCAAGCTCGGGCATGTATTGCTTACGTGGCTGTGCCTTTTGCTGTACCGTTCACTTGAAAGCTGGCAACAATTTTTGTTTGCTATCCAAGTCTGGTGATGCTTGCAGTTCACTTTTAAGAGCAACCAACCATTCTATTCCTTCAAGTCAGTCAGGGGCATTCTCCCTCAAAGTTGGAAATTGTGTGCTTCGTGGAG